GGACCCGCCACTGTGGAGACTGGGACCTTTCGGAAAGAATCTACCTTCCCGGCTTGGCCTGGGGGGATTCAACGAGATCACAGTGCCTTGGCACGTCACATCAGCCGCCTTCCGTAAACATCAGCTGTCATTTATTATTGTCGTTATTCGGGGTTTCTTGGTTTCGTTTTGTTTTGAACCCTATTTCATCGACTCTAAGGTGCCACCGATGAAAAGTAGCATCCTGATCAAAACGCGAAAAGAGATGCGTCTTAGAACCAATGAAATACAGTAGGGGGACAAGTCAAACCCACCGAGCTTGGCTCCCCGCCACCAAATCAGGTCTGAGGACGCTTTGCCGAGCCCCCGGGTCCGGGTGGACGGCCCTAGAACAGATGAGGCCAGGGCCACGAGAGGTTGTCCAGGGCCTCTGGGCATTTAATGAGGGGGAGGGAGGAGGCTCGGGGAGCAGCGAGGCTGGGAGACCAGTCCCAGGCCCTGCCCTTCAGGTCGGTCACAGCAAATGTGGGAACAGCAGCAGGCCCAGCGCCAGGCCGGCGGCGGTGACCCCTTCCAGCTGGCCGCTTTCGGGACCGGGGGCCCTGTTACACATGTGGCCGGAGCAGCAGGTGGTGGTGAGGGTGTAGGTGACGCCCATGTAGGTGACGGGCTCCTCGTGGCCGCAGGAAGTGGACTGCACGCAGCCTTTGTTGATGATGAGGCCGAGCCCCGGGGCCACCCCCTGGCCCGTGAAACAGTCCTCGTCTTCGCCACAGCGCATGTGGGTCCCGGGGCACTGCGTGGAGTCGGTCAGCTCACAGAACACACAGTCCTTGGCGCCCGTGGCACCCGGGGGCAGAGCCATCGCCAGAAGCAGCAGCCAGCCGGGGACCATGGTGGCCTGGCGGGGGTGACGGTGCCCAAGCCAGGCCGTGGGCTTCCTGGGCCTCCCGGAACCACTGAATGAGGATCCCGCGTCTCCCCGCCCCCCCCCCCCCCGCGACTTTCGCCCCTGGGCTGGCCTCCCGGGGTCAGCACTTGGAGTGTCCTTGGTTCCCAACACTCCGTGTCCGTCTCAGGAGCTCCGTCGTGACCACGGCTCTCGAGCGCTTGGGTCTCAGAAGATCCCCGGGACGGAGACAAGCCAGCAGGCGCGATCTGACGGGCGTCTCTGTGCAGCGGAATGGGGTGACCTCACAGACCCCTCAGGGTTCCCACTGGCCGCTCCAGGGGTGAGGTCACAGGTGGGGGGAGGGGTGTCACAATCTGAGGGCAGGACGGCCCCCTGACCTGCCAGGGAGCGAGGGAGGACACTGCCACCCTGCCAAGGTAAGGACGATCGGACCCACGCTCGCCATCCTGGGGGCTGAGTCGTCGCTCTCTGGGCGCTGGGTGCTGTGCCCGCTGAGGCGCACGAGACACAGCCCGCAGTGAGCCCACTTTCCAGATGGGCAAACCAAGGCTCAGGAAGGGAAAGCGACGTGTCCAAGGTCCCCTGGGCCAGGATTGCAGCCCAGGTTCGTGTGATTCCAAAGAGGGCATTTACTGAGCACCTGCTATGCGCCAAGGCCTGAGCCAGATGCTTTAAACGCCACCATCGTGACGACAGGGGCGATGGGGACACCGCTGACCACAGCCAGCAGGCTTTTAGAGCTGGCCACCGTGCCCGGGGCTCAACGCCCTGTTCCCTCGTTCCAGTCTCCCTACATTCGAGCTCCGTATGACAGACGAGCAGACAGAGGCACGGAGCGGCCACACAGCAAGTGCTTGACAAATGGCGGTCGTTATATGGGAAGCAGCCGAGCCCGACAACAGGACTTGTGGAGTCCGAAAACACATCCCATCTCTTTCCGGATGGGGAAACCGAGGCACTGATGCAGCCTAGGTTGGGGAGGGGGCAGAGTCCCTTAAGATAAATTTAAGTGTCTTAACTCACGTAGCGGTCACGTCAGCCCTCTGGGTAGGTGCGTGAGTCGTTCCCATTCTACGGAGGGGGATGTCGAGGCCAGAGAGGTTGCAGGATTTGCCTGAGGTCACACAGCCTGCCCTGGGACCAGGTGGGGACTGGTAATGGAGTCCGGGCGGGGCCCGCGGGGCTGCACGGAGAGCCTGACCCCTCCCTGCGTGCCCCCCCAGCTTCACGTGGAGCGACTCCCGCCTGCACCGAGGCCTGGTGACCCTGTTGACCGGCGAGATTGCTGCCGCCTTCAGCCGAGAGTTCCGGACACTGTATGCGGCCTCCTGGCCACTCCCGTCCGCGCCCACCTCGGGCCCCTTCGTCAGCATCGTGGGGGGGCTGCAGCTGGCCCACAACCCCCACCGTGTGGCCCGCCGCCGCTCTGTGGCCCCCGTGTCACCGCCACCGCCCGCTGGCCCGCTGGCCCAACGCTTGGCCGCCTGCCGAGTCTTTGACGGGGACAGGCAGGAGACCCCGGCCGCCCCAGGGCCGGCGCTGAGCGACATCCTGAGGAGCGTCCAGCGCGCCCGGACCCCCAGCGGCCCCCCCGCCCGGCCCAGCCACTCCCTGTGGGACCTGAGCCGCCTGTCCCAGCTGTCCGGCTCCAGCGACGGTGACAACGAGGTGAGACCTGGAGGGTGGCCTGAGAGAGAACAGGGATAGCTGGAAAAGGATGGAGGCAACCAGGGCCAAGTTCCAGTCTCTCCCTGGCGCCTCAGTTTCCTCATCTGTGAAATGGGTGGGTCCAGAGCTGTAGTAACACCCACCTCAGAGGCGTGTGGCCCTACTGCGTGCCAGGCAGGGGTGAGCGCTGGGCGGCCCGGGGCAGAGACCCCGGGAGCCACCCTGGGTGCAAATCCGGGCACGACACGCCAATTGTGAGAGCCGTGGGCGGGGCAGAAATTTGCCTGAACCTCCATGTTCTCGTCTAGCAAATGGGCCCAGCAGTGGTCCCCATGCTCAGTTCGGCAGGAGGGAGTCAGTGAGGGGCGGATGAACTAGAACAGTCATCATTCCGGTAAATCCGCGAAGTGGAATTTATTTTTACTGAGTTCGTGGCCTCACCTCACCCCAGGTCAGTGAGCTACTAGTCTTCTCACGTTCATTGTTACAGGGGGGTAAGCTGAGGCCCAGAGAGGTCAAGTAACTTGCCCAGAGTTCCAAGCAACCATCTTTTGGGGGCACCTTGCCACATGCCAGGCGCTTTCCCAGGGGTGGCTAGATGGGACCTCTGCCACAACCCTCTGGCGAGGGGGGGCGGTATTATTACAACTCTGCACCCGCCCATTTCGCAGGTGAGGAAACCGAGGCACCAGGGAGAGATTGGAACTCGGCCCTGGTTGCCTCCCGGGTGAAGCTTTTAAATGCTCTGCCCCTGGCTTCCCAGATTCGAGCATCATGGGGCTGCTGGGGAGGGGATTTGGGGAGCTCTGAGGGGGTCTTGGCACCCCCCCCTCCCCAGCTGCTTAGACACCGGGGTTCCAACACAGCCTACACTAACTCTCTGGGATCCTGGGTGGGGAGCCTCAGTGCCCCCAGCTGTAAAGTGGACTGTCGAGAGGGTGAGAGCGGAGCCGGGATGGGGAGGGGGCCGTGGATGCCGGCAGAACTGGGGCACAGTTTCTCCGCGAGCTGTGCGCCCCCGTCAGGCTCAGTTTTCCCATCCGCGAAGTGGGAACCAGTGGGGACCTTTTCGGAGGGGGAGGGAGAAATGTCCCAGGAATCCCCTCCCTCCCTCGTTTCCGGTCCAGGGGAGAGGTGGGGATGGGCACAGCAGGGGCAAGGTCCTCGCCTCCACCCGGTCCTGAGCCACCCTCACCCAGCATCACCTCCCTCGGCAAATATTTACTCCCCCCAGGCGGCTGCTGGCAGCTTCCTGTTTCTCCTCAAGTGCAGAGTTGCAGGGGGGGATCACGGCTCCCGGGGCCCCCCCCCCCCAGGCCTCCCTGCACACACACGCCTCCCCTTGCCTGGACTCGGCCCCCAGCACCTTCTCTCACCTCCCTGTCTTTCCCTCCACAGCTCAAGAAATCCTGGGGTTCCAAGGACACCCCCGCGAAGGCCCTGATGAGGCAGCGGGGCATGGGAGGGGCCCCCTGGGGTGAGACAGAACCCCGTTCTCTGGGCCGGTCCCAGCCCTCAGGCGGCCCCCTCCCCGTCCTCCCTGCCCGCCGCCTCCGCCATCTGTCCCCGACCAGAAGGAGGTTTGGTGAGGATGCCACCTCCAAACTGCAGGAGCCCCGAGGCACCCAGCAGCCAGACTGGGCTGCCCAGGCAGGACTCAGGGGGCGACCCTGACGGGAGCCAAAGCCACCCTGGACCGGCCTGTCGACGGTCACCTCCCAGCCCCCCCCCCGTCCCCCGTCCGTGTGGTGCCTTGGACAAGGCTTCTGGCCTCGGTGTCCGGGAAGCGGCAGGGATGTTTCCCTCTTTGTTCTAGAACTCGGGCAAGCCCAGTGCTCAGTCTAGATGCCAGTGTCGCATTTCAGAAAATGGGCAGAAAGTGTCGACCCGCTGGCATCCCGGGACAGGGCATATCCAATTGCGGCCAGGCCGGAACTTGTCTGAGGACGGGCCTGGCCGAGTGGCCCCCGAGCCGGCGTCGCGTGGGGGCGAAGGTGGGGCGTCCCTGGGACAGGATGGGGAGCCTCGTGGATCTATCAGGCTCCGGAGCTGTGGGTAAACTGAGCTTAGCAGAGGAGAGGAGAGAATCCAGTCCAGGGAGTGGGGCTTAATAATGAGGGACAGGAAATTGGTGGGGACTCCTGCTGGGGGACCGGTCAGGGCCCTGGGCGCTGGGACTGTTTTCTGGGTGCCAAGGGGCGAGTTGTTGGGGCTCCCTTTACCTCTGCTCAGAATAAAGCTGCTTTATACCAGAATCTTGCGTTTTCACAGCCTAGCCGCAGACCCAGGAATCCAGTCCTGGGCCCTTCCTCCCTCAGACTCCCTGGGGGAGCCAGGCGCCCAGCGTGGGGGTCCCCCCACCCCGGCGGCCTCCTCCCCTCGCGCGCCCCCTGCCGGCCGTCCACCGGCGCGCCGCCTCCAGAGCGCATCGAGAGTCGGGGCAGGAGCGATGCGTTTATTCTCAAGGTCACACGTCCGGGGGGTGCTCGGAGGCCTGGGCTGGGGTGGGGCTGGGATCGGGGTCCGGGCTGGCGTCCTCGGGGTCGTCCCAGGGGAAGGTGGGCAGCCCCCGCATCTGCTCCCGGTAGACGCGGTCGAAGGCTTCGCTCTGTGCCACCGTAAAGTGGTTCTTCCAGTCGCCGCACACCCCTGGAGGGGAGGGAGGGGCGGCGAGAGGAGGGAGGGGCGGCGAGGTGAGGCCCGGCGGGGTCAGCCCCCGCGCCCCACATCCCAGCACCCTCTTGCCCGCCTCCGGGCCTTGGCCAGGAGCACCTCCCCGCTCCCTTTTCATCTCCACGTTTTTGCCCTTTTACCTCCTACTGGTGGCTGCCTCTCACGCTGGCCTCCAGTCACCTGGCCAGACCCCTGGGCACCGGCTTTGCCCCCTCCTTCCCTTGGCTCCCCCCCCCCCCACCCCGCCTCTCCTTTCAGTAGACCTGTTGCCTTCCTCCTCCAGCTTTACCCCCTGACCCCTTAAATCGCTCTGCCCAGAACCTCCCCCTCCCGCTCCAGCATTTCCTGGCTCCCTGTCCCTAACCTCTCTGGCTGGAGAAAGAGCATCCTCACTCCGGGGCTCCCGCAACACCCACGCTACCTCCGTGATGGCTCTGCCATTGGGGATGTGCCCACACGCCCGTGCCAGGGAACGCGCGGAAGGGTGGCCCTGGCCTCCTCGGTTTCCCTCCTCAACCCTCGTGGCGACCCAGCAGGCGAGGGGCGTGACCTCTGCCCCTTCCACGGGCCCAGGCGGGCGCCAGGGGCCCCCTCCGGGCCGGCCTCGTGCTTCTCACCTGGGGCCAATGTCATTTGGATGGCAGTATTTTGAATTACATGACGCCCCCTAGTGAGGGGTGGGGGTGGGGCTCCCTGTGGTAGGCTGAATAATCCCCCTCCCCCCATGTCCACGTCCTGGTCTTTGGAACCTATGAATATGTGACCTTAACAAGAGGGACTTTGCAGGTGTCATTGGTTAAGGATGGAGGTTTATCCAGGCAGACCCACAAGGGTCCCTATAAGAAGAGGGGGAGGGGCGCCCGGGGGGAGGGGGAGGGTGGCTCCGTCAGGCTGAGTGTCCGGCTCTTGATCTGGGCTCAGGACACGATCTCATGGTTTGTGAGTTCGCACATGGACGGTGCGGAGCCTGCTTGGGATTCTCTCTCTCTCTCTCTCTCTCTCTCTCTCTCTCCCTCCCCCTGTCTCTCTCTGCCCCTCCCCCGCTTGCTCCCTCTTGGTCTCTCTCAAAACAAACAAACATAGGGAGAAAAAGCAAAGGAGGCGGGAGGCTTAGAGTCTGGGATTGGAAGACTGCCACCCTTCTGATCGGAAGACCGGTGAGGGGTGAGGAGCCCAGCAGTCCGTGTGGGGCTGGAAACGGAAAAGGCAGGGAACAGAGTCTCGCCCCTGGAGCCTCCAGAAGGACCCGTCCCCCTGACACTTTTGATTTTTAACCCAGGGACACTGATTTGGGACTTCTGACCAGAGCTGTAAGGGAATAAACGTGGGTTGTGTTAAGCCGCTCAGTTTGTGGTCTTGTAGCAGGAATAGGAACGAAGACACTCCCTCCCCTCCTTCCCGTAATCCGAGCGCTAGAATGTTTCTGGGCTGAACCTTAACACTAAGAAAGATTCACTAAGAGTCTATATAGCCTCAGGACGGTTCAGTCCTGGCTGTGGCCTTGGACAGGGCCATTTTGTCACCGTTTGGAGCTCTCTGGATGCCGGGCCCTGTGCTAAGCCCTGGGGGGGCGTCCCTCGGGACCTTGGGAAGGCAGTGCTGCTCGGAGCGACCCCACGTTTCAGCTGGGAAAACCGAGGCCCAGAGAGGTGACATGACCGCCCCAAGGTGCACAGCCAGGCGGTGGCCGGGTGAGCCTTGGAACCCCAGACCCCCCGCACCTTTCCGGAGGAAGGCGCCGTGGCGTTGGTCCAGCAGGCTGGGGGGCAGCAGAGTGAAGTTGGACATGGCGTTGGCCTTCATGGCGCCGAAAGCCGAGTGTGCCACGACGGAGTCCAGCGCCTCCTTGCCCAGCGGCCGGCCCAAAAACTGACATATGTTCTGCAGGGAGCTGTGGAGGTCCTGCAGGGGCCGGGGAGGGGGGTCAGGGAGGCCGGGTGGAGGGAGGGGACCCCAGGCAAGGAAGGAGCACCAGACCCAGAATCTGGATGTCCGAGTCCCCGACCCAGAGCCGTCTGGGTGGCTCTGCTGCTTTGCCTCAGTTTCCCCACCACCAAGCCGAGGGATGGGGCGATGGCTTCCGAGAGTTTTCGCAGGCTGGGGATTTCGGAGGGTTCCGCGGGTGGGAGGGAAGGGGCAGAGCCGGGGCAGAGGTCAGTTGGGCAGCTGGTGCACAATCACCCCTCACTCAGGTTAGAAGTGGGGGTCAGCCTGTCTGTGCCCCAGATCTGCACCTGCCCCCCCCCCCCCCGGGTGCCCATCCCGGAAGAGCAGCCTCACTCACTGGGTCACAGGACCAGATTCCCAGCCCGGCCTCCCCCCTCTCTTACTCCCCCTCCCCCCACACCCCTGTCAGTGTCCCTCTGCTCATCCCCTCCTCTGTTCTCGGCGCCCTTGCACTGGGCCTGGCTTGTCCTCTCCCCGTGGACCCGCGACTCGGCCTCCTCCCTGGCCTCCCTGCCTCCAGGCGCCCACACCCAAAGCTGCTCCCGGCCCCCCTGTGGCTCCCCAGTGCCCTGGGACAGGAGTCCCGGCCCCCAGGCCTGGCTTTCAAGGACAGAAGTGGTCTGGCCTGGCCTGGCCTCTAATTCCAGAACTTAACCATTCCCTGCATTTTCCCCCCTGCGGCCTTGGCGGCGGGGGGGGGAGCGGGGGGCGGCAGGGGGGATAGGGGGGGTGGCCGAGAATGCCCCCTGGCACCCTCCTCCCCCAGGCAAACTTCCCCACCCAGATACAGCTCAAACATCACCCTCCTCCCGGCAACGATCGATCGTTCAGGCCACGTGGATTGAGGGGCGCCTGGGGGGCTCAGTCCGTTGAGCGTCCGACGTCGGCTCAGGTCGCCATCTCACCGTCCACGGGTTTGAGCCCCACATCTGTGCTGTCAGCACAGAGCGCACTTCGGGACTTCTGTCTCCCTCTCTCTCTCTCTGCCCCTCACTCTCTCTCTCTCTCTCTCTCTCTCTCTCTCTCTCTCTCTCTCGTATATCTGTGCCAAGCCCGCCAGTAGCCTTGCAGACAGGTGTCATTACCCTGGTCAGTAAATGGAGGCCCAGAGAAGGGAAGACACTCATCCAGGGTCACACAGCTAGGGAGGAACTCAGACTTCCGTGCCCGAAGCCCACGCTTCCCTCCTCTGTGTCGCCGCCTTCCCTGATACTTAGTGCCCAGGACAGTTAGCCTTCCCGTCAGCGCCGCCAGCCCCACGGCTCGGGTTTTCCAGGCCATTCCTGGTTTCGCAACCCTACATCTCCTTTATCTTCTTGAACCACCGGCGTGTCCCAGAAATGCTCACATGTGTGCAGTTCCTCACACGCCAGGGGCAGCCCAGAAGCTCTGCCAGGCTGCATGGCCCAGTTTTTGGCTTTGGAGAAAAAAGCGCGATGAAACAAAGCAAAACAGAACAAAATAAAACAAAGCGGGGGCTGGGCTGCCCCTGGCGGGTGAGGAACTGCACACATGTGAGCATTTCTGGGACACGCCGGTGGTT